ATTGCTAAAGCGCTATAGTTGGTATAATATTAGTATTAAATTAGCTATCAAATAAATGAATACATATCGAGAAGAATCGAAAATATAGACTAATCGATATATATCGAATTTATATTATAATGGCTATATATCGATATATATTTAAATCGATATAACCCAACAGGGGGGATTGTTATCAATATATATCCAATATGGATATATATTGATATATATCGGTATGTTTTTTTTGCCAATGATTGTTATAGCAACTAATGCAGAAAGTTCATCTAAAAAATCCAACTCAATTTTAACAAAAAATACAATTGTTTCAAATAAAATTAAACCATTGGATCAATTTATTGCTCGTAATATGAATGATCAAGAAAAAAAAAAATTTAATGAGCTTTGGTTACGTGCTACAATATCAACAGGAATGGCATTTCGTGCAAGTGAAAATCCTGAATTACAAGCTGTATTTACCTTTTTAAATCCAAATATTAAACTTCCTATCCGCCAAAATCTTGCAGGAACGATTTTGGATAATGCAGCATCATGTGTTCAAGATGAGTTAATTGAAAAAGCTACTGAAGAAGATGTTATAGTTATACTATCAATGGATGGCTGGACTAATGTTAGAGCACAAAACTTATTAGGCATTGTTATGATTACATCAGCAAGTGAATCTTTAATTTGGGGAGCCCACGATATTAGTGTAGATTGTAGCTGTACTAAAGAAGTTATAAGCCAAATAGAGAATATTTGTAATGAAATAGAGTCTAAAAATATTAAAATTGCATGTATTGTTACGGATAGTGCTGCAGCTTATGCTGCAGCAAGGTATGTAAATATTTAAATATATACATATTAATATTTAATATATATAAATTTTTTATATAAATCACGACTTCAAATTAAATATTGTAAAAAAATTTACTTGCCTTGTTTTGCACACCAGATTAATCTTTGTGTAAGAGAAATTTTTAAAGAAAATAGCAATTATCTTTCAATTTCAACACAAGCCATAACAATTGCTAAATTTTTTAATTCTGAGACTAATACTTACTGGATTGGAATGCTACGTAATGAGCAAAAAAGTCTTTATAAACATTATATTTCTTTAATTAGACCTGGATATACATGTTGGAATAGCTATTTTTTTTGTTTTAAAAGTCTCCTAAAAAGTAAACGTGCATTACAAATTTTAATTACTAAATTTGAAATTACTGGAGAACAAGAAATACGAGATAATTATAATCATAATAATAAATTTTTGCAGCATAATTTTTGCCAACAAATAAAAGATGACAATTGGTGGAATGATATTCAAACTTTATCAAATTTATTAGCACCTTATTGTAATTGTTTAAATAGACTTCAGTCTAATACTGCACGATTATATGAGGTTTTACATACTTTTGGATATTTGGCTAAATTCTGAAAAAATTATGAAGATTTTGAATATGGTCAAAAAATGTTAGCACACTTAGAAAAAAGATAGAAAAATTGTGAACAACCTTTACTTTTACTTTCATTTCTTCTTAATCTGCAATATTGTAATTCAAAATTTTCTTTAACAACACCAGGACTTTCATATATTGATCTTGGAAATAGATCATTTATTACTATCAGGCGTGGTTTAAAAAATTACCTGTAAAAATATTAATTGAACTTGAAAATTATCGTAAGAAGCAATATCCATTTGATGATAAGTCTGTTAATCAATTTTTAAATACGGAAAATATTTTTCAATTTTGGTCGCTTGTAGCAACAAGTGGATCTGAATTAGGTGCTGTAGCAAAAATTATATTTGGTATTTGTGTAAACTCAGCATCATGTGAACGATTATTCTCAACTATGGGTTGGATTCATTCAGATTTAAGAAACCGTCTAGATTCAAACAAAGTATTAAAAATTAGTCAAATTCATGGTTCTATTGCATATACTCATCAAGTAGCTAAAGCAAAAATGATTAAGGAAAAATACTTATCAAATATAGTAATTCCGTCTAATAATGAAACTGAAAGTTTGTCTTATGAAGAATCAGAAATTCATGAATCTCAAGATTTATTAAGCAATTTGCACGAAACTGTAGATACCTGGATCGAATCATTAGAGTATGAAAATTTATCTGAACTAACTACTGAACATTATTTTGATATGGATACCAATCTTGAGTGTAATGAACTTGTTGAAAATACTATTCATCCTGTGCGTGATCCAACTGCTAAATAGAAATTGATTGAATTGTTTATTGAAGATTTAGAAGCACTATTTTATTTTTATCAGTTTGAAAATAAGACATAGCTGATTAATAAGCTTATATATTATATGCATTTTTATATTGCATAAAATTGCACAAATTTCTGTTAAAGCATTGCAACATAAATATCAAACAAATGAAAAAAAATTAGAAATCAAGATGATTATTATGCTTGGGTTAGACTTGTTAATATTTTGAAGAGTATTGGTAAATTTACTTACTATACTGATTGTTTAGCTTTAAATTGATTTTAGGCGCACATTTAAAATAATAAATTGCATAAAATTTTAAGAACTTGCTAACAACGATGTGTTATTAAATTTTCTTGAGCTAATATTTATACTATAAAAGCATAAAAGTTTTAAGTTAAAAAAGACTCTTGCGCTACATTTTAATTATTTTGGTACGTTGACTTTACTAAACTATGATTTATTTTATTATAATATATTATTATTAAAATTTTATTCGCTATATATTATCTATATAATTAGCCTATTGAAGTTATAAGGCACGCTAATAAAATCCCAATTCGAAGCCTATACTAAATAAAGCGTACTTCTTATATTTTTAAATTTTTATTTTTTAAATATTTATAAAAAGATAGTAATTTCAAATATAATAAACAAATATTATGTTAGTTTAATTGTATATTAGATTTATATATTTTGCTAAATAAGTTAAATTATATTGGACTGGACAAAATTGGACTCGATTGGACCAATAAATTTAGTCCATTTTCATTGGCTTAAACGGTTAAATCCTCGCATTAGCATTAAAGTAGATATGCTTGAAGCACAGGTTAATAAGAAGCAACACCTCCACATGCACATATAAAAATTTGGTGAATTTACAAATAAGGGCCCTGAAAGTGAATACGGGCCCAGATTAAAATAATTACATATAAGAGCCTAATTTTTAAAAAATATTACATATAAGGGCCCAAATCTATTGATGATTGAAAAAATGTGATCGCGGGATTAC